TATATATATATATATATATATTATCTTAAGAATGTTGGACGCTTTTTAATCCATTCTTTATATAAATGCGAATACTACGCTCGCAGTACGCACGACACGATACACGGTCCTCTCTCTATCGACAGGAGATATTGACCTCAGGCGGTATACACAACACTAAACGTCCAGCATTTTTCTGTCATAATGTGTGTTCACTATACAATCTAGACACACACACACACGCGCGCGCGCGCACACACGCCTAACGTCATCGCGAGCGTGCGATTCTCCTCTAACTACAGGCGCTGTTATTTCATCATATCAAGCTTAGCACATATACACGCCAACGTCGATGAGATAGAAATATATATGTTTATTCGCTATTTTTAGTAAAAAAATAAATATAAGCATCAACGTTGATATTTTATCTTGTAGCGCTCGCAAGTCTTGATACTGTATTGTTTTACCAGATTACATCAGTCTGGCATGCTTGATATTAAAAAAGAACATGGATGTATGAAAGAGGACTTGACCGTATTCGCGTAATAACGAATATCAACCTCGTTTTATAAAATCAAAAATGCATCTATTGTGATTACGCTGTGTGTTGTGTACTTATGCGATTCGCATCAATCCAAGAGAATCAATTTAAGTTCGGGCGCAGAACAAATGAGAAAAAAAAAAAGACATGATTGACAAGAAATATCATCCCAGAATCTTTCGACTTATATACACGAAAAAATTAGTCTTAAATTAAAACAGATATATATAAAAGATATATTCATATATAAACAAGAATATTATAATTTTAAATATTTTAATCTCGATTTGATTGAATTGATGAATTTTTTTGTGTATTTATTATTTCTGATTTTATGTCACACTTCTCTGTTCGATATTTATTCTGTTCATATATTTGAATTTACTCAAAAAAATGAATCGGAAGAAAAAATGCGAGTATTCAACTTAGATTGATTGTATTGTAAAATTTTTATGAATTTGAAAAAAAATGAAAAAAATAAATCACACTCTTGCGTTAAAAAGTGTTTCATCGCTAACTGTTAATGTCGTTTTTGCGATACGTTCAGCCTCTACCTGGTGGACCAATATTGGCTAATCAATGCATTGATCAATCGTTGAAACCGCGATATCGTGAAATCTATCGGCATTGCGATCAACAAGATCGACTTACGGCACGTAGTCGCGGTCGTAAAAAATTACGAGAATATAAGTGCATATTATTTCAATTTTTCATTTAGCTGAGCTTGTTTTATGTCTACATCTTGTATATTCGTAGCAATATTTATATGGCTGGTTCTGTTCACGGTAATATTACATTTTGCGACTCGTTGAGTACCGTCGGTGTGTGTGACTAGAATACTATCGTAAACCAATCTTCTACGAAAGCTGCATGTCTGTTTTTACTCAACTCCATCTAATAAAATAGTCAGTTTTATCCGCGACAGAATGATCTATTTATCATTTCAGGAATCCGCGGCGGAACACGTAGTCGTGTGAAAAGTGTGAGAACCTTGATGTCATACGACTAGAATGCCGTCTTTTTTTTTTTTCATCGTTATAGATCCTCTTGATAACATTTTTTTATCTACTTCGAATTTCCGAAGCACAAAAAACCGATATTACGCGATTGATCTCATTGATTTCATTAGCGTGCAATAATAAAATTTATTAGTCTCGTACTAATTACATATGTGAATTATATTAAGAAGCGATTTCATTTTAAATTCAAAAGAGCTAAAA